GGAGCTGAGAGACGTCACCTAAAGCCGCACCAATACCGCGCATGCGCAAAATATTGTGATATCGGGGCGGTTTTAGGTGACGTCTGGAGCTGAGCGGCTGCAAGCGGCAGTGGCGTTGTAGCTTTGGTAAAGAGAAGGTGTGTATCGCTCTTCTCTCTGTTCACCGGTACTTTCTCATGTTTAACAGTGCTTGGTGTACGTGTATATTGTGTTTGCTCAAATTTAACCCACAAATTAGCAAAAATGAGTACGAAACAGACGTCGTTAGAAAGTTTCCTTGGGAAAAAAGAAAAGGCCCAGTGAAGAGACAGAAGAAGGGCCTTCAACATCAAAGAAACATGTAACTTTTAACAGACAATACCATGAGTCCTACTTGAAATATGGATTTATCGGGACAGGTGATTCCAATCTAAAATATAAACACTCAACGTCCCCCCCTCAGCGGGCCGCGGTAACATTATCAAACGTTGACCGGTCCGCGGCGATAAAAAGGTTGGGGAGCACTGCTTTAAACAGTTGCTGACAGGCAATTTGTGCCTCTTAGATAAATTACCAACAATGTGAGTAGCATTCTTTCCACTGAGCAGCAATGTAATGGGGCCCTTTTCCCTCTAACTCTCCCAATGATCATCAATGTAAGAGTGTACTTTTTCCACTGATCATAAATCTAGCCGGGGGGAATTCTCAATTGGCTGCCAATGTAAGGTGACAGTACACAGACTACAAATGTAAGGGACATCTTCACTGACTACTAGTTTAAGAGGGCACTTCTTCATTGAATATCAATGTAAGCAGGCATTTCTCTACTAAGCACCAATGTGGGGGAACACTACAATTATCAGTGAAAGTATTTTTGTCATAAAGAGCAGCCCTGGGTGTCAAATACACTAAGTATGCCACATGCCTTATTCTTTTAATTATTTATACAGTGTATTAAACATGTTATTCATGCTAATCCACCATGAGCTATAGATATAGCAATTATTAGTCGGGGATCACTGATCAATGAAAGTTATTTTCAACTGTTCCTCCATGTAAAGAAGCAGCATTATAAATATACTTTAAAAAACACAGTATTTATGTGATAAAAATAATTATTGAGCAAAAAATAAACAATACTGCATGTTATGCACACACCTATAAGTGCACCAATATCTTGTTTCACCACACAGTTAAAAAGACACGCATGATCATGTTGACCTTTTACATGAAAAATGGTCAATCAGAGCCAATACACTCCTCCACATTATTTCTCAATCAGCACTCCGATCGTACCCACCTCTTCATATGGAAACAGGTCAAACACACTCCTCCTCTCTCCTACTACATTAAAACTCCATAGAAGCAACTGTGTACCATAAAAAAAAATATCACCTCTTCTATTATCTACGATGCTGAGTGATAACCACCTAGTGGATGTGTGGCGGGAACTGAACCCCGTAACAAAGGATTATACATTTTTATCCAACCCCCACCAAATTTACAGTAGAATAGATCATATCTTCACTAATCAACAATTTCTACCCTCATTCTCCAAAGCGACTATTAAGGCCACCCCTTGGCCACCCCGAGTCGGAAAAACGCCTGCGGTGGTCCAAACACAAGTTTTAATCCAGAGCTAACAAGCCTGGTTCCCTGTTAGCAAAGAAACTGAATACATTGCCTTCCCATGCGGCCCCAATCCGCCTGCGAAACTCTCTGGGTACTGTGACGGCCAACCCAGTTAAGATCTTGGAACTCTTCACGGATAATTTGAAAACCCTCTATGCTGACCGGCAGGCCTTCCGGAACTCCACTGCTGAGGAGCTGTTTGCCAATATCACTCTCCCACAGATTTCTCGGGATGATATAGAACTCTTGAATTCTGATGTTCAGGAGGAGGAAGTTCTTACCGCAATTAAACAGCTGAAACCCTCCAAAGCATCGGGTCCGGATGGCTTTTCGGCCCTCTATTATAAGAAACTGGCTCCCATTCTATCCCCCAGGTTAACTACTTTATATAACTCGCTTAAAACTGACCTGGCACTACACTCGTCCTCGCTCCTGGCATATATTGCCATGGTTCCGAAATCTGATAAGGATCCTTTGGACCCTAACAACTATCGCCCGATATCGCTTTTAAACATTGACATAAAAATACTAACAAAAATTTTGGCCACACGCATCAACACCTTTTTACCCACGCTTATACATGGAGATCAGGTGGGATTTATCCCAAGGCGACAGGCTAGCGACAATGTTCGGAAAATTGTACATATTAGTGATACTTAAGTCCAGAGGCATCCCGGGATTTTTATTATCCTTGGATATCCAGAGAGCCTTTGACTCCATTTCCTGGGACTATTTAGTTGAAATAGAAAAAAAAATATCACCAAATGTCTTTATAGTGTAACATTTCCTTTATTTAAATATTTAACCTAAGATGAGAGGAATGGTTCTGTAGGTCCCACACCTCTAGCTCTGCCAAGTGACATTGGTGGTAGAACAATGCAGGCACCATCAGGTGATAACTCCTCCTTACCATCTTGTCTTGATTTGTATTGTGATTGTAATGTCTTCCTTATATTGTAAAACGCTGCGCAAACTGTTGGCGCTATATACTGTAAATCCTGTATAATAATAATAATACCGTAACTCAATCTGCCACTGCAACCTCCTTAGGAACTCTGTGGTTCTTTTGAATCCTGGCTGAGAAAGGCTGCTCTAGTGTAATCAGTAGTAGAATAAAATTGGTTGTATTAAATGTGTGAATGGTATATTTTGCATATAGACAAAAGAAAATAGATGTATTTTCTTACAACTGATAGCAGTTAGTAACTAGAAGCCAAATATAAATTAGTCAGTGCCAGAAAATTCTGACTTTTACTATTAAAAAAACCAATTTATTGAACAATCTACTACTTCTGGAATGTTGAAAAACAGCCTTTACTATTTACAGCCACGGCTCTCAACTGGCGGGTCGTGACCCAAAAGTGGGTCGCGACCCCTTGATCAGTGGGTCACCGCGTGCCTTCCACTTTTCTAGGTGAGAGGATCCTCAGCCTCCCCTTAGAGCAGCACTGTCAGTTCTCACGCCAAGCAGCCATTCAAAATACGCTGCCTAGTGCTGAGTGTCAACTTCAAGTGGGATGGGGTTATGGCCGCAAGAGAGCTCCATCCATACATGCATTGCTTACAGCTTCCTCATGTGACCTGTAGAGGTGCAATGACCGGAGTGACATCACATTCTGACTCACGGAACCTCTACAAGGCACGCAAGGGAGCTGTACCAGCAATGCACATATGGATGGAGCTCCATCACAGCACAGCATCCCACACTGGACCTCAGGCTGAGGATCCATTCCAGTTCTCATAAGATAGGGAGACTGGGTGGAACTTAAAATATAAAATAAAAAAGTGTGTATGTGTGAGAATGTGTCTGTGATTGTGTGTGTCTCAGTGTTTTTGAGGGTCTGTTCACACCAGTACAGTGCGTTAATCACACAGCCCCGTACGATTAACACTCTGTACCACGCAAAATCGCACCTACAGCGACTTCTGGTGTGGGAGGTGTGTTGTATTGTTATATGTTTGAATGGCACCCCAAACGCACTTCCCATGCACAGTTCCATCACACACACCGTAAAACGCGGTACCGCAATGCCATGCGTTCCTGTGCGGTGCGACGTGGGTCATGACTTAATAACCAAGGACAAATGTGGGTCCTGAGGTTACACAGGTTGAGAACCACTGATTTACAGTATATATGGGTAGTATAGTATTTCACTAGCATGATTTTGCTAACATAATTAACCTTCTACCTTTTTTGAAAGAAAAAAAAACCCCTAAACCTGGCCACATGAAAAAAAATATTTTAGATTTTATCTATCAGGTAAGCAAAATTCCTCAATACTCCCCAGCAAATATATTCTGCCACACCACTATAGTGCCCACTGACATATGATGAGAACATGGTCTGCAGTTGGGGAAAAGCACTTGGATAGGGTGGAAGCTCTTTTTTCCATTACGGTTTATACAAGCAGTAGCCTTCTTCTCATCCCCCATTGACATTAGATAAACATGGTGTCACAAGCAAATGCAACGTTTCGGAACCACATGTGGTCCCTTCATCAGGCAAAACAATGTGACATGTTGGCTATTTGTTGGCCATTTCAGCACCCATTTAAGCTACACTTGAGGATATGTCGGTTTTGAGTGCGATGGGATACCTCTGAATGCATGGGAGATTTCTATCTGTTAAAAAAATGAATCATGATTTTACTTTTTACATTGTGTAGGGGCAATAAAAAGGAGGATTGAATTGGACTGGGGCGCAGAGGACAAAGAATACCTAGAGAAAGTGGAAACACATGTGAAAGGAGCTCTAAATGAGGTGACCCCAGATGTAATAGTCTACAATGCAGGGACTGATATACTGGATGGAGATCCACTTGGAGGTCTCTCCATTTCCCCTCAAGTAAGTTGTATAATCTCAACTGTAAGTACACACACACATACATATACGCTTGCATGATATTAGAGTATCACAGTTGTGCTTACAATATGCTAAGCAGTGGGGAACTACCGCCTGTGCCGCCGCACCGGGGCCTGAGCCTACAGGGGGGCCCAGTATCCATTCAAACACAGCCCCGGGGGAAAAAACGGGGGGGGGGCCCGTTGGTGTCCGGCCGCCGGTTACCATCGGATCGGTGGTATCCCTGTGCCGGGAGTGTCCGTTGTAGGGCTGCAGCTAACGATTATTTTCATAATCGATTAGTTGGCCGATTATTAAGTTCGATTAATCGGTTAATCGGATAAAAAAGAAAAAAAAAAGGCTCCAGTGATGGACTACTAGTTTGTATTGAGATTGTAGTCCATCACCAGAGCAAGCTTGGCGCGGTGGAAGTAAAAAAGGCGCGATGTCTCTGGTGTAACCTGGTATATATTCCCACAGCAAGTATTCTCATATGCACACAAAATAATCAATGGGTTAACTACCCTCTAGAGAATCCTCCAAAGAAAAGTCCAAACATAGGCTGTATCTGTGAAATAGAGCTGAGAAAGAAGGCACGGGGCGCCAGAGCAGTGATTATACTGTCTTCATTTGCAGGGAACTGCTTTGGCCAAATGTTTGGGTCTATGACACAGGTGATTTAAGGAGGTCTCTTCTTAAGATCTAATTGGGAGGTTAACTTCTACCTTATTCTTCCCAAACCAAAGCACAAATTATAGAATAATTTATGAAATGGTGATGAGAAACCTCCCTATCCCCTTAACCCTGATACATACATGGCTATTGCTTAAGAACTAAGTCTGTTTTTTCCCCTCATATTTAGGGCATTATAAAAAGGGATGAGATTGTGTTCAGCATTGCCAGGAGTCGCTGTATTCCTATTCTAATGGTCACCTCTGGTGGATATCAAAAGAGAACAGCACGGATAATTGCGGATTCCATTCTCAACCTCCACAACCTTGGCCTAATTGATAAAGTCTCGGCGGAGACACATGAACCTAGGATATAAGACAAGATTTAAAAAAAAAAAAGAAATCTTGGTTTGCTATGAAACTAATTACTTGTGGCAATAATTTACACACTACATTTTTGTTTTAAAAAATGTAACTACATTAAAATACTGTGTATTTATTTGGGTGGAGAAACTGAGCCTAACAAACACTGGAGCACTTTGATTGTTTTAATAATATATAAACAATGCCCATTGGTCTTAAAAAATGAATATGTTTTATTTGTGGAAATGCTATAACACTTATTCAGAGTTGTATATTGTAAACACCTTGGAATCATTTTAAGTTTTAGTTGACTCAGCAACTGCTTTTTTTATCATAGGGAATGGGTTCAAGTAAAATAATGCTATGAAACATGAAGGGAGAAGTAGGCACTGTAATTGATTGTTTCACTATTTAAGTGTAGTTCTTCCAGTATGCAGTTTACCTATTATTATTGCAGTGCCTGCAGATGAACTATCTAAGCCTTCTGACATATTTGCAGAACATGTAATGCATAGGTTGTGGGTGTACATGCTTTGTGGGAGAGAGAGCAAAGCTTCCGAGAGAGTTACCACTTCCAGACTTTCATTTACTGTTGAACGAAAACACTTTCTTTACACTAAGTCATCTCCTATACTTTAATATGTGGTAATATGCCCCCTGCTCTGCTTCTGTTTGATGGCTTGGGGGGTCTTTTGCCTTTAGGGAATAGTAGAAATGCCGGCATCCACTCCTGAGCTTTCTTCAGCTTAAGTACCATTGCTCAATGCTTTATCCTGAAGCTGACATACAATTCCATAAACTAAAATACATTTACTTGCCCTCCTTCTGGGACTGAAGGACACCTGAATGCACCTAACCGGGACCTATGTACCCTCCCCCTGAGCACTGATGACTACCTGCTTTCTCCCTAAGACAGGCAATCACTTGAGCCCCCAGGACAGTCACCCTTCCTGTGATACTTGGAAATGGATACCATAGCACCCAATCCCCAGGGCTGACAGTTTATAAGTATTATACAATCTGTATAGGGTAGTCCTATAACATTACCCTTACAAAATACCCTAAAACGTCATGATTGACAAAGGACTATCTTTTACTAACTTCCTTCTTTGCAGCACATGTATCTACACATTTTCTAAATCTACAGCTGCACTTTAAAGTCAGACTACACAGGCAGCTGTGTTATCGTAACTGCACAGGTTCAGTTTCATTTTGCTCTATAGTCTCAAAATCCAACTTCAGTAGACGAGGTGAAAATATTCTCTAGAAAACTAGGATGGTCACTTCAAAAATGATTAGACTGTGAACAATGGTTACATTAAATGAAAAACTTTTATATGTGTCCACATGCTATAACCAGCACAATACACTGACCGTGTTCTTACCTTAAGAAATACACTAACTAATAAGACACTAATGGTGATGATTTATTAAGAGTCATTTTGTTTCTGTGATTTATTTGTTAATAAAGAATTGTCAAAATCTGATCACTATGGCTTCATTTCTTTATGAGAATGATCTTTACGTTTTCGAATACTTTACTATTTCTCACTGCTGATGGTTGCCACCTAATAATTTATTAGGTGGCAGAAGGCCGGGCCCCAGCAGCAGCAGGTAAGAGGAGCTGGGAGGCGGTGCAGGGAAAAGGACCCTGACCAGCCCAACTGAGACCCTGCCGAGCCCACCATAGAGAGTCTCGGGTGGGCTGTGGCAGATCTATGGTGTGCTCTGCAGGGTCACTCTCAGGTGGGCAGTGTGGGGTCTCAGCAGGATCTCAGGTGGGCTCTGCGTTGCCTCAGGTTTGCCCAGAGTCCAGTGCATTGCTGAGCCCAGAGTCCAGCACATTCCTGAGCCCAGAGTCCAGTTAGTGTTAGTTAATAGGGAGCGCAGTTAGTGAATAGGGAGTGCAGCTAGTGTTAGTGAATAGGGAGTGCAGCTAGTGTTAGTGAATAGTTAGTGAATAAGGAGTGCAGCTAGTGTTGGTGAATAGTTAGTGAATAGGGAGTGCAGCTAGTGTTAGTGAATAGAGGGTGCAGTTAGTGAATAGGGAGTGCATTTAGTGAATAGGGAGTGCGGTTAGTGTTAGTTTATGGTCCTGCTCAACATATTTTGTGGTTCTCTGTACCGTTACAGTACTCTGTACTTCTTCTGTATAATGCTACATAGAATTGTGTGTTATGTCACCATGGCAGGCGCTGCTAGGCAAAGTAGGCAGCTTGTGAGCCTACATCCGAAAATGTTGATTGCACCATACATGTTCGGTATCATCGTATATGCCACTGCGAGAGCCACTATAGCTTAATAGAGCACAAATAAAATGTATGGGGATGTTGGGGTGGCATTGTGGCGGGGGGCCACTCTCTGTTAGATTTATAGAATACAGTTGTGTCACTCCCCCACCCACAGCCGGATAAATGGACAATGAAGGCGTAACAAAACAGAGATAAGTCATCAGATCATAGGAGATGAAAGGAGGATGATGTCTTTACAAGTTTAGTTACTTATGAAGTTGTAGGTAAAAATACATTAAATTATTGTTAAGGGAATACAAAGCTGCTTTAATTTTTTTTCCTATATCTGCCTGGAGTTCTATTTTAAGTCCCCTCAAACAATTTCACTGTATATACAGGAAACACGCAGACACACAAAACTTATAACAAATATATTTATTACGTATTAAAATATCAATGTCATCACTCAGCCAGCCGAGCTTCACGTCTCACAAATACTGTAGCTGCCGCAGGCAGTGTAGGGGCCACTCCTGGTGACATCAGAAGGGCAGTAAAAACATAATGCGTCCTGCTCTACCACTGTGGAGCCATTTATGCACTAATGGATATCATACTGGTAACATAACATGTTCAGGGAAGGAAGAAAAAACATGGCACTGTTCAAAACGATTATAAAGCTGAGAGTCTCATATGGCTCTTACTAACTCTTTACATAAAGCTCTATACGAGTTTACGGGAGAGAATAAAACTGGATTATTAAGCAGTAGCTGAAAAGTATCGAATTTTAAACAATGCTGAAGATATCTTGTACAATGTAATCTGTATGGGTTCCATCAATCAGCCCTTCTCCACTGGAATGTACAAACCAACAAGGAATCTCATTGCTATCTGTGCTGTCATCTCTGTAGTCTTTTTGTATACCCCTGAAATAAACAAAAATCACAGCAATAAATACAAATTGTAAAATTACTTTTTTACTTGACACAGGTCTGTTTAAAAAATTGACTACTTTTAACTGCTGTAAAAAAACAATTATCAAGCCTGAACCTACTTCATCTGATTATGTGTGGATGTTGGTTATAAGAAGATGGATTGAGTTATCAAATACTAACAGGTGCTTCAATACCAGGGACGTGCGGTCAGGGGAGGCAGGGGATGTCTCAAGCTGACAGCTTTTTCTCCATTTAGATCGGCATCTAACAGGTTACACAGCAGGGAAATCCTCCCCGCTGTGTAACCTGTCATGGACGGAGCGCCTCAGTAGTGAGGAGCAAGTTAGGGACAGGGAGGCTCCTCCCTGTCTCCTCCCTTCCTCCTTTACACTATCTTGGGATGGGCTGGCTTTGTCCGGCAGGGCGAGGCTTCTGCGGACAGGGTGGGGCTTCATCCAGCGGGGGGCGGGGGACGTGCTGGGGCATCCTGGAACAAGAGGTACCGCACGTCACTGCTCAATACCCAAGATCTGAAAATGCATTTTCAGTGATCTTGGCTTTAAAATGAATTCATGGCCAAGCTATGGTCATGGGGATCTATGGGGATCTTCCCAACTGTATCACAGAAGTAAACAAAAACATAATAGGGGTTTTAATATTCTTTGTACAAACAAAACAGTTTTTTGTTTTTCTTCTACTTATTGTGCCTTTGTTGGAAAGATCTTCTGTCAAGCCGTGCTCCAAAGACTTAAAGAAAAAAAAAGGAAAGCTCTGCAACAGGTACATAGACGACACATATAAATAATCTTGAAATTGAATTTTTTTTTTACCTTCCAGCACCGACATACTTTGAATGAAAAATCAAAGTAGCTGGGTGGAACAAGCTCAAGACAGGAATTAACTGGACCATTGACCTTAATAACTGTTCCTCGATATGGAATTCAGACTTATTGTAGGCCCAAATTGGATAAAGTAGGTCAGTGAGTACGGAACAATTTCTTTACCTTGTCACAGTCAGCAGCTTATTCTTTACTTTCATGGTGGCATCTGGTTTATTGGGGTCAGCGGTGTTGTGAATATTAGAAATTTCATAGTCGACTCCGTGAAAAAATTGTCCTTTAGGATATATAGATATAATAGAATGATTGCATTTAGAAATCACTCTGAGAATATTTTAGAGTATGAACCATGATTCATAAGACTGAGTTCATAATATCTATACGGCTCAATTAACAAAGCAAACATATCAGATAAAGGACCCTAATTTAAAAACAGTCATTCCCTGCAATCCAATGAGATTTGATAATTACAGTCACATGGCTAAAAAAAAATCCTTATCCTTGTGTTTAAATTGAGCCTATAGGCTGGATCAACAAGGGACATTTATTAAACCCAACATCTCATAATGTTCATATAATCAAGGCTAATTTTACAGGTAGCTAAGAAGATAGATGAAAGGAGCATTTGTATGGGCCCTCGAAATGCTTTGGCTAGCTCTATGCTGTCTCCTTAACCATATATAGAATAAAAATATATATGGACTAATAAATGGAGTGTGACTCTTCAATTCACAATCCTACAATTTGACTCTACTAATTAAAGAGACAGTGGTGATCCTCTGGAATGTAGAAGCTGCCTTTCTGGTAGTTAGATCACCTATACTGACTCTTACACATCCTAATTGGCCAGCCCCAACCATAGGACAAAACTTGCAGATCCAGCACTTTATTCTTTCCAGTATTTTCAGAAGGGAGGTCAACATGTTTGATTGCTAATTTGTTGCTCTAGTGTATAACATTTTCCACATTTTGTTTTTGCTTTGTTGCACAAGCAAATCACTTACATAAGAAGCTATGGAGCAGAACAAACGTTCCCTTACCTAATAGTCCATGGACTCCTTCAGAAAATGCACGATCATTTAGAGTGTAGAATCCTAAATAATCTCTGTGTACAGGATTATTTTTCCAAACCTTATGCAGAACAACAACAAATGTTGCCTCTTCTCCAAAAGAAAACTTTGCATTGTTTTGGTTACTTATTGCCATATTAAATCTGCAAATATAAAAAGACATATTAAAAACCATACATGTAAACAAGG